CTGCTGAAAATGCCTTGCAGCTTAGTTCTCGTGTAGGACGTCTGTGCTTTATTGTCTTCTTGTGCCGTAGCCTCTGCCATGACTACTCAGCAGTTTTTTCTGTGCATCGTGCCAAGGAAGCAAGATAAGAGGAGATAGTAAACACACCTTATTGCCGGTACAGGAACAAACCACTAAAACCTTGCTGCACCATTTCTCGCTGCTGTTAAAACCCTCCCTCCCACCTTGCTTTTGACAGAATATTGACTAGAAACCAAGATCCCATTTCTGCTTAGCCTTAAGGGCAGCTGTTTACAGAGTGGCGGTGTTACATAGGTTTACTGTGTCGTATGTCTGTGTAACACTGGATTTGGATCTTGTATTTAGCTGCCAGAAGTGACTGTGATGAAGTGGGAGAGATAAACTGATAGATTGTGTGCCAGAAAGATGTGGAGAATCAATCAGATAAGCAGGGCAGAGAAGTAGCTTGCTGTTTTCTAGTGATAATAAACCAGTGGCCTTTCTTCCTGGAGTTTCTAAATGTAATTGCTGCAGTAATAATCTCCAAAAATAGGCAAATAGAAAAAAAGTCATGGCAGGTTTTTAATTATGCTCAAATCACTGTTTTTTATTTTTTGTAATATGATGTATGCCTTGAAGGAGAGGAAAGAAGTGGACAAGCATAAAGATTATCTCTGTTTCTGGAGTGTCTCTTATCTGAAAATAAAAAAGGGTCATAAAATGATACTCATCTACCTCTATGGCATTTTTCTTTGTGGGGTGCACACCTTTTCCCTCCCTCTCTCCAGCAGTGTACTGAAGTGATCAGAAACTATGGGAGCCAGCGAGTTTCTCCCATCGTGCTGTACCCGGGACAGCTTTTGGGTGTCAGCTGCACGCGGTGGGCAGCGTTGGTGCCCGCGAAGGTGTCTGAGGGCAGGCTGCTCAGAGCACAGTCGCAGTCAATAGCTAAGCTGTGCTGTCGTCTCACTTGAGCTGGTATTTCCTTATATACATCCCCGGCTGCAAGGGAGGATGTGGAGCTTCTTTGTTGTCCTCTTGCCTTGTCTGTGCATGCTGTCTTGGGCCAGGTGAAGACTACAGCCAGGGCCATGGCTGCTCCCCAAGCCCTGCTTTCCGTCACTGCTGCTGTACCTCCATTGACCGCTGCAGTCCAGCTCTCCTACTTGAGCAAAAGTATAGGGTGGAGGAAGAGGTTCTTTCATCCTTTCTTCTCCAGCATTGTGGAATTGCCTGGACTCTCTGGTTTCCAGGTGGGTCTGTTTCAGGCCCTTTCTGAGCTGAGGCAGTAACTTCACTAGTCAGTGAAATGTCGGCATCTGGAAGGCAGCCTGTGCACCTCAGTTTTGGAGGGTTTATTTCTGTTCTTTGTGTTAATATGTTGGCTAATACCCAAGGCACAGCATATACAATTTACAGTGAGTGGTGATAAACATATAGCACTGGTCAAGTATCCAAAAAGGCTGTTCACAATATTCTTTGGCTGCAGGAAGCAAAAAGGACAAAACCCAACCCTCAGGATGTGAAAAGAAATAGAAAAGCCTGCTTGAACGTTCCTGCTCTAGCTACAAAAATTATTTTGCTGTACTGTTCCTCTGGGCAAGTGTTACTGCCCAGCAGTGCTTGACTTCTGTTTGGTGAAGTGTTTCAGTTCCCCCCTGCCCTCCCCACTTGAAGTGTGGGGCGAGACCTGTGGACAGAGTTCTTACTGCAGATCTGCCTGCCTTACATCTCTTGCCCATGGGAACATTCAGGCCTTTTTTTATTCTTCCAAAGCCCAAGGAACAGTACTGACCTCAGAAATACAAGCTGAGTTCTTCATTCTGCTCCTCCGTGTGAGAAACGACCGTCTCCTGTCAGGCTCAGCTGCTCACATCCCCACAAGCTTGTCACCTTTTTGTCCTCCATGGGACTGCACACTTTGCTCTGGGCTCTTGGGACCAGCAGTTACCAGATGGTTGGCCCATCTGACAGTCCCAGAGCCGGGGATTCCAGACCTTTGCCATTGCTTAGACCTGAGATCGTTAGTTTGCTTTGCCTGTGTGGGGCTTCTGGTGCTTGGACCATGGTGCAGCAAAGTTGTGCCCCTCTGGCTCCGCATAACCGTGTAGATTCTCTTCAGATGAAAGACATGATGCTGCATGTCACCTCAATAAACCGTGATGCATTGAAGGGAAGACTGTACTACTCCTGGATCCATCTGAAATTACAAACAAACTCTTTGTAGTGACCTGCAGTGTTATGCTCCAATTGCGTATTCTGTGGGAACTTTTTTGGAAGAGGGGGGCGATCTACAGGTACTTACACTTTTAGCATAGGATTTTGCTTCCTTGCTTGGACCTTGTCAGAGCCATCAGCTATTTCCCTTGGGAAACTCCTTCGTGCTGACGAAATGTTAAAAAGCTTTGGTTCTTGGCTTGGTTTTTTCTAGGAGGTTTCAAGAAATAAGGTGTACAGGTTGCCTTGGGAACTTGGCAGCTAATTTCTTAAGTCTTCTGAGAAACCTGTGAGCCTGTTTGCATTAACATGTCTTTACTGTGCTTTTAAATGGAATTGTTGTCTTTCTTCTAGCTCCTTCGAGAACTCATAGAACGTAAAACCACTTCATGGGACCCCAATGACCAGGTGGCAATGGGCAGGTAAGTAGGAAGTTGTCTGTACCATCACTAGCTTCACCAGTCCAGAAGTGCAAAACTGCTTGTCGGCTTTCAGTCCAGGTCATTGTAGAGGGCAGAATTTTTAATTACTCTGGAGAAAGCATCTGGATGTAAGAGACTGCATAACAAATTAATAAAACAGTAGAACATTAGTCAGGAAAGCCATCCTGTGTAACATACTCCTTCATTATGGATCACATTGACTGACTCTGAGTTTGCCAGCCTTTAAGCTGTGCCCTGGTTTGTCTGTGATCCCCTGAGGATACTTTCCGGTTGTAAAAGGCTTGTTTCAGACTTTGGAGATTTCTAACTCTCAGTGGTTCATGCAGCACGGAGGGAATACTTAGAGGGGTGACTGAACTGACCCTAGCAAGGGGGACCTAGACAAAGTGACTGCCCGCTGCTGAAATTTGGCCTTTTCTCACGATGAGCTCTGCTTCGTCATTGTTTTAGAGGAGCAAACCCTCTGTCGTGAGATCTGTTAAAGCAGTTCCTGTGTATGCTCTCTCCCTGCTGTAAGAGAAGATACTATACAATTAAAACAATATCAGGGAATGTTTCCTGCATGCAGAAGTGAAATATGATTCCATGCAGGGAAGCGCTTATATCTCTGTTTAATTCTACAGTTAGAAAATAAAGAATCTTCCAAATACCACTTAATGAACAGTGTACATTTAAATAGCCATGGGCTATGGTTTAGGAAAGTGTAAAAGCAGAGGGAGGTTGAAAATGCTGGAGTAGGGCGCTCTGCTGAAAAAGTACTGTGGGCTGTGTGTATGGGGAGCAGGAGAAAATGCATTAGGAAATTTTGTGATGGTGAAATAACTTTTATCCTTGAAAAATATTACCCAAATTTTAGTGCAATGTGTCAGATTTATTTTGTGTATGTCTGGAATATTATGGAAAGCTATTCACTATAATTTAACATGATATAGACAAAATTACATTTAAGTGGTGATTACATTGTACATTTATCTGACTTTACAATAAAATAGATTACAGTAATTAAGATTATATTAAGATTGCAGTAATTGGATTTTGCTAGATTTTTTTCCCTGATGTCGAGTTTTCATTGTATAAATCAGGTAAGATGACGCTCGTTTTTGTAAAAAAATGTTTATAACTACTAGAAGTTTTCCCTTGCTGAAAACTTTATTGACTTGATGAAGTTCTGTTTGAGGAGTTGAGCTCTCCCTTCTAAATACAGTTGGGGATCAGTCAGCACGTTCTGAAAGTGTTTATTGCTTTGATTTCTTTTGTAGCTTTGTGTAGTAATAGTTGGAGCATTACGTAGGGCTTCTTGCTAGATTTGCTGGGTTTAAGTTAGAGATGGTAGGGAGAAATACTTGCGTGTAATTTTCAATATATTTTGCAAAACTGAGGGAGGAAATAAATTCAGAGCATCTGCTGCATCGTGGTAACTCTGTTCATGAAGTTAGCATAACCCATCTCACTTAAAGAATCAGTTGAGGACGCAGCAGACCAGCTATTGTGTCACGAGCTTTCTATATGCAAAACAGAAGTCGTTCTAGTAATCAAGGCTGAAACAAAAAACGCTGTACCTGTAGAGACTTTTTTTTTACAGATTTTAGCATTTATATTTTGTAAGGATTGTATTTTGAATTCTAAAGATTCTTAAAAATACTCAATAATCAAGAAAGAATGAAAAATGGAGCCAAGCTTGTGGCCTCCGTGGGTTGCCCTGCGGGTGGAATGTTCTCGCTCAACAGTGACTGCTCATCGGGATCCGCAGGTCTGGTCTGCGTGTCCCGTTGTGGCTGGAGCCAGGAGAAATGTCCGTTGTTTAAATGCCGTGGTCACGGAGTGAAGCCGCACCATGGGCACTTCAGGTTTCATACTTGTTTTCCTGCGGTCCTGATCACTTGTGTAAACGAGACAGGTGGAAGGGCTGGGAAGGGCCTCAGGCCCCGGTGTACCTAAGGCTCATTTGCCAAGTGGTTCTAAAAACTGTGTCACTGTCGTTTTGCATTCCTCAGGCAGTGGCTGGCCATCCAGAAGTTACGCAGCAAAATAAAGAAGAAAGTGGACAGAAAAGCCAGTAAAGGAAGGAGAATCCGGTGGGTGACAGCTTCTGCAAGCAAACAGAAGTTCGGATTTTGCCGAATAAAGTCTGACCGTGCTGGGTTGGCTCTGGGGTGCATTGGCAGGCTTATTCATGCCTTTTAGGGCAAGATGCCTTGCTCTGGGGCGTCCACTGGGGAATCTTAATGTTTTTGAGCCTAGAACAAGGGCTTGGTTAGATGCAGCCTGTGGGCATTGCCCAGATCAGTCTTCGCCAGATGTTCATTGGTCTCAGAAAACACTGGAGAGAGGTGTTCAAATGTCCCTAAGCGATTTGGGGCCATAATTTCCAGTGAAAGCCAGTAGCACCTCTTGTGCAATATATATTTAGCTGACTAAAACGTGAATAGCAGCTCCAGGGGAAGACGTACAGAAACGCCTCAGTGAGGTAGATGTCTGTTTGCCACTGGCTGCCAGCTGGAATTTGGTGTCAAATCTCTCTTTATTTTTGCAAGTCCCCATCACAGCTTTCTTTAGCTTCAAAGCTTTCATATCCTGACTCCCGGATCACTAATTTGGGTTGATCTCTCCTGTTGAGTTTCCAGTGGAAGAAGCTTCCACGTGGTAGAAAGAGAAGCAGTCTGGAGAGGACAGGGTTTTTTTCCCCTTTGCAGAGCAGATATATTAGTCTCCCTGAGATTAGCATGACTGCATGATTTGTAGTGGAGGAGGTGTTTGTGGCAGGGAGGCATGCTGAAAAGCTGCACTGCTTCCTGAAAAATCTGCAACATTAACCGTCCTTTTGTGAGTAAACTATAAATCGTGAGTTTAGATGGCATCTGATAGAAAGTCAGTGGAGTCAGTCTGGGTCAGGCCTGGCATAGCAATTTTTAAGATAGATGTCATAAGATAATTTATTAAAAGAGGGAAGAGCTACTTTGTTGGCCTGAAAAGCCTATAATTATTGACTATCAATATTCTTTTCTGTCAGCATCACATATAATTGGATATATTCATGATTCAGTCAAAACTACTGACAACATCACACAACGGAGTCAGACTCGTAAACCTCCAGGAATAATGGGGAAGTCTCTCGTTGTGTGCGCTTCAGCATTCCTGAGAGATCAGCTATCTCGCCAAGTCAATTGCCTCTTAGATCTTAGGTGCCTTGTTTTCTTCTTTAAATAAAAGTTGCACTGACCCAGCAGGGAAAATATCAATAAAAGAAAAGAATGTCATTGTGTTTAGGATTAACATGCAGATAAGCTCCATCATCTTTCCAGTATAGTCCAGCAGAGCCCAAATGGGTGTTTTTAAATAGTTGGTTCTTCCACTGAGAGACCCAGGATCACCCCAAGCAGAGCACTTATCCTCTGTTCTTCTGTTTCCTTCTCTAAAACTGGGGCAGCAGTGCTTAGATTTGTTTTCATGAAGGACTCTGAGATCCTGGAAAGCGAACTATCACATACTAAGTTTCATCTGTCTCCGTAATTACTCCTTTTTATTAAACCTGCAGTGTTACCGCGTGGTTGGATGAAATGTGCTGTTTATTGTAGGGTCTGAGGATCTTCAAGTGCTTTCAAAAGCAGCTGAGCTTGCGCTTCACATGAGTACCTGTCCCCTTCATAGACAGGGAAATTGGGGCACGAAGAGGGGAGGTATGCTCATCCTAAAACTCCGCAGTCAAGCTTAGGAAACCTGGTGCCTAGAACTCTGCCGTCCCTCACTAGGACACGCCTTTCCTTGAGGTGGAAGTGGAGGGGTGATGTGTGCACACCCGTTTTTCGTGTCAGTGAATTCTGGTCCTGTGCTGCGACAACATGGAATGTCTTTCTGTGAATGAAATTAAATATTTTGTTTCTGCTAGACCGGGATTTTTAAAGTCCTGATTTAAAAAATGTGACAGTAATTAGTTCTGGACAAACAACTGGTGTCAGAGAATTTATCAGAATCGCTCATTCCCCTCGCCACTAGGCAGACTGTCCCTGTGTAGGCTTTGCTCTGTGTGAATCCGTCAGTTGTTAACGTCTCATAAGCGAACTGTTTCATAGTCCACGCTGTTGACCTGTAGTTTGTTGCAGCAGTCGCCCTGCACGGCTGTGTCTGTTCCCTGACGCCTTCGTTACAGCATTAGACCAGGGCAGTTGCTTCCATTACGAGTGACAAAGACTCGATTGTGCGGAGAAGCCCTTGCATAAGGGTGAGCGTGTGCTGTGCCTGAGGAGCCATTCTGAAATAGTCTTGTGAGCTAAAAATCCCCTTGAGGGAATGTTCCTGCGTAGGCAAACAAAAGGGAGTGCAGAGGTGACAGAGTGGAAAGGTGATTCTGGGCAAATGCTTGTGAATCCTTTTGCCTGCTATTTGTCAAGCTCTAAAAATAGCAGCAGCTTGGATAAAACATTTCAGACTTGGGTAGGGAGCATGGTAGTGTACACCAAAAGCCATCGGTTTGGAATCCCCTGCCCTTAGACACTAGGGTTTAAAGCCACCTTTCATTCAGGGTTTTTCAGTACTCTAGATAAATTTTGTATGTCAAGTCCTTGAGTGTAAGTCTCGAAAAGCTACTGCAGGTTTCTAGCCCAGTGTGGAAAGCGGGAAGGGGATCCCATATCTGGAGGTGCAGTACAGCGTGCAGAAATATTTTGGTGGATCAGAAGCTGTGAGATGCAGCACTGCATCACCTTGGACATGAGCCATCTCTCCTCTGCACAGGTCTTTAATTATTCAGGGTGAGACTTTCCAACTATGGGTATGGCTAGCAGAGTGGGATTTTGCTATCCTGTACAGCCCTAGATACCACAGAGCAAGGAAAAAGTGATAGCAGATGGATGCTTGAGAAGGTCTGATGCTTCTGCAGCCTGCAGTGGGCTCTTTGGGCACAAATTCCAGAAGGTGATTAAGACACCAGCTGAACCGAAGGCTGGAAACGAGTTCTTGTTTCTCTGTCTCTGACTGTCCAGGGTTGTCTGTTGCAGAGTCTGATTAGGTACTCGCACACAATTAGTGGAAGCTGTATGTGCTCTTTCTAGCTGTGATAACAAAGGATTTGCTTGCTATTCAGTTCATTGTATCATCTGATTATTCTTCTGTCCGTGTTATAAGACAGGAGGAGGAGGGAAGGGAGGGGGAATTGCCAGCTACAACTAGTGACTCATTAGATATCAGCCACCAGGAAAGCCAGTGCTTTGCATTTCAGGGACTGCTAATGTTTGTGTTCAAGCAGCACCATTTCCTTCTCATTAATAGTTACTAACGTGCTGCCTGCTTGTTTCCTGCGCTATTCAGGTATCATGTCCATAGCAAGCTGGTGAGCTTCATGGCACCTATTGACCACTGTACAATGAATGATGATGCCAGGTGAGTAATAGATTAATTATGTTTCTCAAATGGCTTCATGACAGCGTGATATTGACCTGTTCTTCAGTCTGTCGCCCCCTCCATTTCTTCTTATCAGTTAACCATTTGTCACTGGCATCATAGCCTGGGTGTCTTGGTCACATCTGTCCAGGCAGTCTGGCTGAGCTTTCGCTCTGTAATTACTGTGACACCAGACAAGAAATTTTCATAAATCTTGGTACCTACATTTTGATTCTTGCTTTAAAACTCCTCCAGTTTTGAAATCTTCTAGTTTTATGGAATTATTTTGGAAATAGAGAACTGAGTTATCTGATGTCTTCAGGTGTAATGGAAACTTACAAAGAACGTGGCTTTGAACAGAAATGACAACTGTTTTAAATTCTGTTTAGTGTGCACTTTCTTGGGCCAGTTAATAACTGGAATAGTTCAGTCAAGATTCATTCAAGACCTAAATGTTGCTTGTGTTTATGTCTATTTAAAGAGTGAAGAATTTTATTGGAAGACTATAATGTTTTAGTGTGCTCATTAGTAAAGAAAACATCAATGAAGTTTTGTCCATAGCTACTAGATAGTTTTACTACATATACACCCACATTTCAGTTACATATTTATTAAGTATTATGTTGTTAAACTAAATCTGGAAATGCTGAGCTTTTTGTGGGCAGGAGGTGGAATAATTTTTCCAGTGAATGGATGTAGAAGGCTTGAGAAACATCTTTCCCCTGGGTTGTGGAACATGTTTGTGCTTTGTGAGAGAGAGCGATGTCGTTTGTCTGTTTGCAAAATGGAAACCAAATACCTGCTGTTCTTAGACTGTTGCCTTTCAGGGTACTGCGCAGACTTCTGGATGAGAGCTCTCCAATAAGCTGGCATTAAGGCATTTTGTGTCCATAACAAGACCTGTGCTGTTTCATCACGCATCTTTCTCATGGTTTCTTCACTCTTTTTTTCTTTTCTTCTCAAGTGAGGAAACTGCTCTGATTTCTGAATATTGTCTAGGTCCTCTCACCACAAAAAGAAATGTGCCGGAAGTGCAGGGCGAAAGCTATGCCTCCATCCATATGAGGTGGTCAGTTCTTCCACCCCCTTACCTGGATCACGGGAAGAGAAGGACAGAAGTGGCTTGGGCACTGTGAGATTAGACATGGACACTTTTGTTTATCTGCCAAATAAATCAAGTGCATTTTTGTTTCTGATATGCAGGGCCTGAGCTGGCAGCTATCGGTGCTTCCCAGCTGTCAAGGAGCTCCTTACCTGTATGGAACTGGTGCCTGTGCTGTTTGGGATAGCCCCAAATCACACATGGGGCAGGAGAGATACACGTTCCTAGCAAAGTCATACCGTCCTGCAGAAATGGTTCTGGGGTGTGCTGCTCGTTCCCCACAGCTTTTTGTCTGAGGGTAATCAGCAGGTGACGTGTGTGTTTAGGAAAAACCAGTTCACACCACATGCATTAATAATACGCATGACTCTAGTATTTCTCTATCTTAGTATTATGTCCAGTTGACTGGTTACTAGTTATGCTTTGAGAATTTTGAACGAGGTTAGAGTCTGTCATTTTTTGTGTAGAATACCTTCTGCACTGTCCTACAGGTTAGGCAGGCATATAGACTCCGGCTCTGTCCCCAGAATGAAAGCAAGCTCAGCTCGCCTGGGCTATGCGTGAAGGGGAGGAAGGTGGAAAAAAAATAGTGATCCTGATCCCAGTGATCTAGGAGTTACAGTGTGTTTGCTGTCCCCGGAGATGACATTGCCTCCTCCTTCGCAGCCCACCGCACTCACTTGTGTTCCAAAAGTTGCATGGAAAATGCATTCTGTAAGCCGAAATCCTCCAGCAAGTCAGTGCGAGAGTGCAGTGCGTCGAAACGGCTGGGGCAGGGAGTCGATCTGCGCAATAGCCTTCCTGGGCCTCCGCTCCGCTTCATCTGGCTGCCATCTTCATAACCCTTCTCCCGTTGCTTCTCGGGAGACACCGTGAGTCCACCACAGACTGCACAGGGTCTGGCTGACCCTCAGAAGCTGTTACAGCTAATAGGATGCTATCTACGTTATGCTGGGTCGAGATGGTTGTCATTGTGGTAGGGGACAGAGTGTTTGACATTTGGTTTGCTGAAAATGTCTCCTGGGGATTCTCTCCACATTGAGCGGGTTATTACATCGCTTGCATGTTTTACGGATTCTTTGGTGGCAGCAGTGTGGCAGCAGCTGCTGCTGCTGATTATCTGACTGCGGGAACTTATTTCTTACATTAAGTTTATTAGTCACTTTGGAGGCCCGCCATGCTTTCTGTTAATGGCGCTTTAGTCACTTATCTCCTGATGTTGGTTTAGCCGTCTAGAGTGAGACTCTGGTTGATGTGTTTGCACACCAGCGAGCGTGCCTGAGGGTCATGCCATGTGGGCAGCTGTATCCCATGCGGCCAAGATCAGGCTTTCAGGCAAACCCTGGACGTGGATGGGGCAGTGCCGAATCAGGCTGGGCAGGTCTTGTTCCTCGTTCTGCCGGTGGCTTCGTGGATGACCTTGAGCAGGGCGCTCTGTGTTGCTGTGACTCTGATTCCCCTTCTGTGCAACAGAGGTCTGCTGTTGGGAAGTGCCTGTGAAAAACAGTGGTTCAGTAATAGTAGTAGTAGCATTTCATTTTTTCACATACATAGGAGAGCTTTTGTTTCAGACAGGAGACAGATAGACAAACAGAAGCCTTAAGCTTTCCTCACTGTTTGCCGGAATGCCTGCTGGTTGCCTGTAATGCAAAGAATATGTCTTACCTTTGCCCATTGCAGCAGTGCAGTCCTCCTGAAACAGTTTCTCTGCACCTTCCTCCCCACGGGATGTGCTTTGGTGTTGTTTAGTCCTAATGTTGAGTTTAAATTTCTCTCTGCTGTAATTTAGCCCTGTTATTTCTTGTCCTGTTCAGTGTGGGCTTTAGGAACAGATTCTTGCTTCCTCTTTGCAGCAGCCCTTCGACATTTGGGTGGGCATTCGTGCTTTGCACACTGAAAACCTGGCCGCTGCTTAGCTTAGCTTCCTTCCTCTGCTCCTTAATTTACACCATTTCTGTTTGCATCCAGACATAAAACATATTCAAAACACTGGAGTGGCCGGTGTCTGAAAATCAGACCTCTGTAGGTGTTTTGGTTCAGCTCTCCCAAAATGAAGATATCTGCTGCTTTCAGTCATTTTTTTTTTTTTTAAATCATAGCCACTCTCTAGGGGTCACTTCACATCTCTGTTTAAAATGCCCCTGCACTTGCCATGGGCCATAATACCTCTGTAGCAGCACACAGCCGTACCGGACAAGGCCAGAAGAATTCAGCAGCTGCTTTAAACTGCAGGTGAATTTACAAGAAAGGACCAGGCCTGTACGCATGAGAGGGAAGCAGCAATGATAACAGCTTTCCTTTGTGACAGAAGAAGGTAATTTTATTGTTTGCAAGTGTGAATTACTAGATTGAAAATGCAAGTATACACTTCACAGTGATGTGATCATGCTCTGAGCCTTTTTTTTTTTTTTTTCCTGGTCAGGCACTTAAAAGGCATGACCCCAAAATAAATACACATCTGAACAATGAGGCGCTCTGCGTTGTAGTGTGAGAAATTGTAAAGTGTCAGTGAGCTGTGTATAAAAAGGGGTTGTAGAACCAGAGCTGGCAGAACATTCTCCTGAATTTCTACCAGTGGCTACAGTGGCAGGTAGATACCTGGAAAAAGCCAGTAAATAAATACATATGTGCAGATGTGGATGGGCAGAAGCCTTGGGGGGATGGCGTAGAACCCGGGGTGTGCAGGTGGTGGTGTAATGCTGGTTCTGCTTCGGCTGTACCACGTCCTCACTCCCCGTGATGAACTGCACAAGCCCTTCGTAGCTGGGGCAGCAGCAGAGGGGAGTTATCTGTGACTTCGAGTGCTGTAAGTGCTTTTGAGAGCACGAGTCTGTGTAACACTGTAATACCTTGCTGTTTTCTGTGTATTTAATTAGCTAATGCAGCCTAGGAATACATTTGGGGCCTGATTCTCCTGTGCATTTAGGCCATTTTACACTACTCTGGCTGTGCAGAGACACCTTAAAGTAGTGTGATGAACTGCTGGCACTCACCTGGAGGTCGCTGTGCGGTGGTGTCACGGCTGTGGGACACCCAGGACTTCTAGGGATCTGGCACGTCAAGTTTATCGCTTGCACTGCTGCGGGCTGGGGAAACAAAGAGCAAACGCGTGTGAGGAGAAACAGCCCGAGTGCTGCTTGGGGAGGGGATGAACAGTCACTCCAGAACTGTTTTACAGCCTGAATTTGAGAAAAGAAACATGCAAGTATAATAACTGCCTTTGTCAACATCACTGCCACTTTCTTTCTTCTTCTTGCTGCTGGATGGAATAATAGCGTTCGTGCAGGCAATTAATCTTCCACTTGCCAGTTTTTCATGCACCCTACGCATGGGCATGGCTGTTTAACCTTGTGCTCACATATATTATGTTGTAATGTGTGGGACACTGGTGGCCTGGAGCCCTCCTCTGTTTTAACCCCTCTTTGGTAGTATTTTAAAACATACACTGGAAAGTGATTTTTATGGTTGTCTTGGGGTATATGTTTATAGACTTAGATACATTTATAGTACTCTTGGGCCAAGGTTTTTCTGATCGGTCCAAGGTCATTGCTATGTAAATGGGCCTGCCCTAAGACAAGGAACCTGAAGGCAGAAGCTTGAATGTAATTGCGCTGTGGTGGCTGTCCAGGAGAGAGGGTAGCTGTCTTGGGCAGCAATTACCCAGGATTTGAACAAGGCTGATCTCTCTCTGGTTGTGATTTCACCTGGGTTTGAGGGTGGCATCATGTGGGTGCCACTTCTTGGACTTCCCTTGAAATACGCTTTTCCCATCTTCGTGACCTAGGGTACTTCACTGAGACCGTTGCTCCAGTATCTAGCGTAGTGCAGCCTTTAATAGAATCATCCTTCAGTACCACCGTGTGCAACAGAGTTGGGAAGATGCCAGTCTTCTGTGGTT